CACACGCCTGCTGCTGTATACTTGGAGTTTGCACGTCTCTCTTGCCCTGGTTGCGTGGATTTTTGTCCGGGTCCTCGGGTTTTTCCCTCCACATTTAGAATCAACGTCACGCGTCTAGAGTATTTAAGTGTCCACGTGATGAGCCACTTCGTTGAGCCGGGTCGCTTCTGAAAGAGAGCTACATAGCTCAGTGGGCCTTACCTGGTAAGATTACAAAAAAAATGTTACAATTGTAGCCTAAGCTGTGAGCCAGACATTCCAAAAAAAGTCTGAAGTGTTTTTTCTGCTCAAATGAGCATTGAGCCATTGATATTCATCTCCTGTTCACAGCCCTGAGCCACTGGTGGAAATTCAACATTCCTATGGCGGGTCTGATAACATCCGTAGGACAACTACTGTTGACTTCCCCACAAATTGGTACTAATCGGAGGTGCAGGGGAAGGACAACAAATTAAACACAAAGCAGTTCCAAAGAAATAACTTTTCAATCTAGATGATGGTTTAAAAGTCCATAGCTTCAGTGGCTTCCTAATATCGGAAAGAAGAGCAATCCAGACGGCTGCAGAAGCGCATCTTAAATTGCGCGAGGTGGCAAGTGGGTTTCGCGAACCCATCTGTGAGGACGCTTCTCTCTTTAATCCTCTCATTCTCTCCTACGGCCCGGAGGAGTTTTCCTCTGGGTTCTCCGGTTTCCTGCCACAAGCAAGGGCACCGTGCAACGTGGACGTGGCCACGGGAGACCTCGCCGAGGTCCTTCAGACCCTCGGTGAGGTTTGCCTGCTAAATAAGTGACATGGGGGGGGGGGATGCAATGCAACACAGCCACGACAGCCCTCGTGCACGAGGACAAACCAGCACTGGCCCGTGCTACTTTCTGCGTAACACAGTAAATCCAGTTTTTTCATCAATTCTAGTCAGTTCTTGCATATGACGGCCATATGAACTACAAACTATTTTTTTTATTTTACCAGGTAAGGCCCACTGAGCTATACAGCTCTTTTTCAGAAGCCACGAATGATAGCTCAACGAAGTGGCTTATCGCTTGGGAATTTATAGCAGCCAAGTCCTCTAAATATGTTCTAGGAACTAAATGCCAAAATCGAGGCTGCTGGCCACGAGAGGGTTTTCAGGAGAGAGTTTGTGGAGTTTTGCTATTTCTCCTCCTCCGTTTAAGGAGCACAGACTAGTGGTTTACTATACGATCCATACTTCGGTTGCAAAGCCACACACACACACTACTGTGGCTTGCCTTTAAATGTCTTTTGAATGACAATTTTTTTTTTTATAAAATTGCATTATATGCAACAAAAACGTCATAGGTAGAAGGGAACATAATTTTCAATTAATCTGTATCGCTAATTTTTGATAAACTAATCCCAAACTGTAAAAAATGGTGAGAAAATTTAGAAAAAGCTGTATATAAAAGAAAAGCCGAAAATTAACGTGGCAAAAAATGTGTGGTTGTGGTTTGTTGACTTAGGCGAAAGGTTAAAGGTTGTATACGGCTCATTACTGATACCATAGGTCACATGGTTCCTTGCCACAGGTCATAGGTCAGAATGAGCTCTCACTTGGTCTCTGTACAATGTATAATTATGGTGAACTTCTTGGCACCGTACGTGGAGAATACTATACTCCAGTGCTATGACGGACAGCCTTGCAGAGCGACAATGTAATTTCTCACAACATGGAAATAAAATAGACTGCACTCGTTAAGAACACTCATCTTTACGTGGGTTATAATTATAAATAAAAAAACACATAAATCTGTATGATTTCGTCAAACCATTTGCTTGAATCATTTTAATTGCCTCTCATCTAAAACGAGTCAATGTATTTATATCGTGTGAGTCAAAAGTGTGGTGCGTTTGTCATTAAATTATTTGTAATTTCTAGGGTGCATGGAGCTATGGCGCAGTGGTTAGCACGCTGCGCTACGAACCCGGTCGACCCGACTTCGATTTCTGGCCACTACCAAACTAAACAGTGGCAAGCGAGATCTGAACCGGTCCTGGGTATCCCCCTTCACCAACCTCCACTGACCAACGTGTTGAAGTGACCGACACGGGAGTGGGGGAGGCAATCCATAAATCCGCGTTCTTACATCGTGATGCTACGAGGGACGGTGAAAACTACTGGAGGCCTTCACATCCAACAGTGGACAGATCATGGCTGCTGATAATAAGGGTGCAATGGTGAACAGCGCTTGGAGGCAAGAGTTGATGGATCACATGGCGAACTGTAACCACCCAGAATGCCTGCTGGGATGGTGAAAACTACTGGAGGCCTTCACATCCAGCAGCGGGCAGATCATGGCTACTGATAAGGGTGCAATGGTGAATAGCGCTTGGAGGCAAGCGTTGATGGATCACATGGCGAACTGTAGCCACCCAGAATGCCTGCTGGGCTGTGAGGTGGAACTAAAACCCAAACCACACTAAATTAATTTTACCAAGTAAGGACCGCTGAGCTATATATAGCTCTTTTTTTCATAAGCGACCCTGGCTATCACAAATTATAGCTCAACGAAGTGGCTTATCACGTGGAAATGTATAGCAGCCAAATGCTCTGAACACATGTTGATTCTAAATGTGGAGGGAAAAGCCGGAGGACCCGGAGAAAAATCCACGCGACCACGGGAAGACACGCAAACTCCAACAGGCGTCAGGGTCAGAATCGAACCCACAACCTCCTTATACCAGGCGAAGTAGTTAACATCTCGTCACCGTGGCCAGAAATGGCAGTACAGCAAGTGGGTCCGTGAACATATCTGTGTTACAACGTCCATGCTATCCTGCAGAAGGCCTGAAGGGTTTTCTCTGAGCACTCTGGTTTCCTCCCACAAACCATTAACGCGACATAATACGCAATTCAATAATCATCTCGGCGCAGGACCCTCCTGAAAACAGAGCCCCGAGACTCGTTGAAGCTTTTCCTGCTAAAATAAAATACATGATTACTTAACAGTCCACGTTTCAGCTGACACACATTCGTCACCGCCATTCGTCACGAAGTGGCGGTAACGTCACCACGGCGCTTGTGCCAGGCTACGTGCACTTTAAGGCCACGTGAAGTGTCGAATGGTGCACTGGCAGGAGGCTACGGGACAGACCCAGGTGCCGTAGGCCAACCGACCGAGATGACTGGCCGATGCACCACCTGTGCCCTCAACTGTGTCAACTTGCTGCTTTGTTATTTCGCAGCCCGTCGCTTCGCTCGTTGTTCTGAGCGTCGCTCCTCTGCCATCCGTTGTTGTTGGAGGGCAGAGCAGGACACAATGGCAACGACCCCCCCCCACCCTCCATATATTACTGTAGGCTGTTGGTACGAATGTTGTTATCGACCACATTATTCAGGATGGCACAATGCACGAATGGGCAAGTTCTGGTCTGACCTTCCGCCCCTCTCCCGAGTGCTGACGTTTATAAGCTTCATCAAGACCTAATTTAAGGCTGAGTCGACCTAGGAGAGGCCTAGGACAAGTTCCGATTTGCGTGTTGCACTTATGTTACCCATGGCTGGGTGTCAAACCCAGGTCACAGTGCGCAAACCATCGCACCCAGTGCTCGAACAACAACAAACCACCGTTCGTCACTAAGTGATGGGGACGTCACCACGGTGCTTGTGGCAGGCTAGGGGCACTTTGAGGCCACGTGAAGTGTCAAAGGTTCACTGACAAGGCTTCCCAAACACACACAACACGCACACAGAGCCACGATTCACACCCCAAGCAATTCCATCGACTGTCACGATTCAGGGTCAAAGTTGGATTCAAGAATCAATTATTGTTTTGACAATTTGGTTCGCAATGTTTATCGGGATGTTTTTTTTTTACACACTGCTTGTACAGTTTCGCCTAAACGTTGCACAAGCATCTCGTTTGCATGTCATTTACACAGAACCTAAATACATCGACTGGCGCAAATGAGTGATCCCGCCCCTACTAGCAATCTGTGGAAAAAAAAACGCTTTATAGCTTATTGGATTCCTCCAGTATATATAGAAATAAAAACTCATTCTGAGCTCGATGAGCAGGGAGGTATCGAGATCGTTAAGAATCGACGCTTGATCAACGCACTGATTGAGCAGCCGATATCTCTCGCGGCCACGCGATTAATACCACCATCAACAAAACAATAGCCACGTTTGTTCACACCGGCACAGATCCCAACTCCGTTGCCCCGGGTCCGCACTGCATTCAGCAACATACGGGGGGAGGGGTGGCCTTTAAATTACCGTGGGCCCCGTGTGGCCACTTAAATCACATCGCCCTGGCACGCAAAACAAAGGGCCCACCACAGTAAAACATTTTTACGATTCCCGTATTTACCCGGCCTCCGAAGCTGTAAATGAAGTCGCATCCTCCGTGGCTCGACAGACGACCGAGTTACGGGCACCGAATGTTGCTAAAACAAAAAAACCTTCCGAGACTCGCCGTGCTCCGAACCACTTGAAGCAAAGAAGCAATTTCTATGGCCGGGACAGTACACGCGTGTGCGTGTGTATGTGTGCGCGCGTGTGTACGTGTGTATGTGTGCGCGTGTGTGTACGTGTGTATGTGTGCGCGTGTGTATGTGTGCGCGTGTGTGTACGTGTGTATGTGTGCGCGTGTGTGTGTACGTGTGTATGTGTGCGCGTGTGTAGTGTAGCGGTAAGCGCGCTGCGCTATGAACCCGGCGACACGAGTTTGATTCCCGCTCACGGCCAACACCAGTGACGATTATCTGAACCGGTCCCGGGCCTCCCTTAGGTCGACTCAGCCTCAAATGAGTACCTGGTGCCGTTCCGGCCTTCATAGGTGCTCGCTAACAGCACTTGCCCCTACAGTCTGTTAAGGCTATACGGGGGATCTTTGTGTGTGTACGCGTCTGTGTGTCTTTGTGCCGCTCAAATCACGGAGCCGGCGGTACACTCGACTCGATTCGGGTAGCGCGAAAGAATTTCCTGCTTCGCCCAGAACGGCGTGTTTGCCTTGCTGACATCTTCATTCATTCACTCACCCCATCGTGCGGCGTGAGTGTCGTTTGCTGTGCTGACGTCTTCATTCATTCACTCACCCCATCGTGCGGCGTGAGTGTCGTTTGCCTTGCTGACGTCTTCATTCATTCACTCACTCACGCCATCGTGCGGCGTGAGTGTCGTTTGCTGTGCTGACGTCTTCATTCATTCACTCACCCCATCGTGCGGCGTGAGTGTCGTTTGCCTTGCTGACGTCCTCATTCATTCACTCACTCACGCCATCGTGCGGCGTGAGTGTCGTTTGCCTTGCTGACCTCTTCATTCATTCATTCACTCACGCCATCGTGCGGCGTGAGTGCCGTTTGCTGTGCTGACGTCTTCATTCATTCACTCACTCACGCCATCGTGCGGCGTGAGTGAGTGCCGTTTGCCTTGCTGACGTCTTCATTCATTCATTCACTCACGCCATCGTGCGGCGTGCGTGCCGTGCTGACGTCTTCATTCACTCACTCACTCACGCCATCGTGCGGCGTGCGTGCCGTGCTGACGTCTTCATTCACTCACTCACGCCTTCGTGCGGCGTGAGTGAGTGCCGTTTGCCTTGCTGACGTCTTCATTCATTCACTCACGCCATCGTGCGGCGTGAGTGCCGTTTGCTGTGCTGACGTCTTCATTCATTCACTCACTCACGCCATCGTGCGGCGTGAGTGAGTGCCGTTTGCCTTGCTGACGTCTTCATTCATTCATTCACTCACGCCATCGTGCGGCGTGCGTGCCGTGCTGACGTCTTCATTCACTCACTCACTCACGCCTTCGTGCGGCGTCGTGCGGCGTCCTAGACGGCGGCGATGACGCTGCCCCGAGCCGTCTCATCGCATCCCCGACTCTGCTCAGAGAGCGGTCTCCCTGTTGGGGCGCGCCGTGCCGCCGCCGGCTGCTTTGGGGCCCATCCATTTAGGGGACATCCATTTAGGGGACATCCATTTAGTACGTACGCATGGAGGGGGGAGGGTTAACCCAAATGCGTACGCTTGCGTATGGGGGGGGGGGGGTCTACTGACAGTGTACGCATAGGAAACGGGGGGGGGGTGTGAAGCCACACATGTAGTAGTAGTACACGTGTAGTAGTAGCTTACTACACATGCAGTAGTAGCTTACTACACATGCAGTAGTAGCTTGCTACACATGCAGTAGTAGCTTGCTACACATGCAGTAGTAGCTTGCTACACATGCAGTAGTAGCTTGCTACACATGCAGTAGTAGCTTGCTACACATGCAGTAGTAGCTTGCTACACATGCAGTAGTAGCTTGCTACACATGCAGTAGTAGCTTGCTACACATGCAGTAGTAGCTTGCTACACATGCAGTAGTAGCTTGCTACACATGCAGTAGTAGCTTGCTACACATGCAGTAGTAGCTTGCTACACATGCAGTAGTAGCTTGCTACACATGCAGTAGTAGCTTGCTACACATGCAGTAGTAGCTTGCTACACATGCAGTAGTAGCTACTACACATGCAGTAGTAGCTACTACACATGCAGTAGTAGCTGCTACACATGCAGTAGTAGCTACTACACATGCAGTAGTAGCTACTACACATGCAGTAGTAGCTACTACACATGCAGTAGTAGCTACTACACATGCAGTAGTAGCTACTGCACATGCAGTAGTAGCTACTGCACATGCAGTAGTAGCTACTGCACATGCAGTAGTAGCTACTACACATGCAGTAGTAGCTACTACACATGCAGTAGTAGCTACTACTACATATGTAGTAGTAGCTACTACTACATATATAGCTACTACTACATATATAGTAGCTACTACTACATATATAGTAGCTACTACTACATATATAGTAGCTACTACTACACATGTAGTAGTAGTAGTAGCTACTACTACACATGCAGTAGTAGCTACTACACATGTATAGTAGCTACTACATATATAGTAGCTACTACTACATATGTAGTAGCTACGGGCCCCGCACTTTAAAGGGCCCCGCGCTAAATGCTTTCAAGCTGTCAGTTCCGGTTCAGTGATTCTGCACTTGCTCTATTACTATAGTACTATACCGCCTTCAACTTTTACAACGACTGGGTGTTTAAGGTTAGCGATTTGTTGTACTATCTGGCTGTATAGCAAATGAAGCCATACAATTACTTTACAATGCAAGTTTTAATATTTGTCTGTATTTTTATTTATGGCCCCTTAATAACAGATGCCACAGGCCCCGCACCAGCTTCATCCGGCACTGCCTCGACCCTCTAAATTCCAGCGGCAAATAAGAGGCACGTAGTACCCCGTCTCAGAATCATCATCATGATCATCATTATGATCACCATCATGATCATCATTATGATCACCATGATCATCATCATGATCACCATGATCATCATCATGATCACCATGATCATCACCATGATCATCATTATGATCACCATGATCATCATCATCATGATCATCATCATAATCATCATGATGATGAATAAAACCTCGCCAGCCCCTGCGTTGGGCAACAAGGAGCCAGGCCCCGGCGTGTGGGGCAACCCGTGCCCCCGAGGGAGACGATACAATGGGCCCCCCTCAGTCGCTACCAGAGAAGACGAAGATTGTGTTCGGCACGCGGCAGAGAAGATGCGATGTTCGCAGTAATTGTCTCGAACGCTCCAAACGCAACCTACCACCACCACAACCACAGCCATCCCCCTCAGTCTATCTCTCTCTCTCTCGCGTTAGAGTCAACAAAGTTAGCGGAGAGAACCAACAAGAAAGCCTGTGGAAGGAGGGAGGGGTGGAGGGGGTGAAACGAAACGCCGAAACGCCGAAGCTGCAGCTGCAGCAGGCTCATTCGGTGCTCCAGCAGCGAGACGCCGTAACGGGCGTGGTGATCCTTACCTTGGGCTCTTCGCACTGTAGCTGCTGCAGCCGCTGCTGCTGTTGTTGTTGTGGTGGTTGTTGTTGTGGTTGTTGTTGTGTCCGCGGGAGAACAAAGGGGAGCCCCGCGCAGCCGCAATGAATGAAGCGGGACGGGCGGGCGAGCTTTGCCCTAGTTTACGTGGAGCGACTGCCGAGCCACCGGCTGCTCGGAAGCAAGTGAAGTAGGCGAAAGAGCAAACACACGGGGTGGGTGGCAGGGGGTGGGTGGGTGGCAGGGGGTGGGTGGTGGTTGAACACGAAAACGATTTACAAGACACGCACGGACGTAGCGAGAGAGGGCGAGCGAGCAAGGGAAGTTGGCAAAGAACACAAAGTTCTTGTCAGGACATCGCCGCCCGGGTTCATTTCTCTCTCTCTCTCACACACACACACCCACACACACTCACTCACCCACACACACACACTCACCCACACACACACACCCACACACTCACCCACACACACTCACCCACACACACTCACCCACACTCACTCACTCACAACTCAACCCCGAGACAGAGGAGCCACGCGCGTTGCTCCTCGACTCGCCCCGGTCGCAGGCTGAGCCGGGGGAGGAGGGAGGGAGGGAGGGGGGACGACACCGGGAGGCGTGGCCAGGGCTTTAACCACGTGATCCGCCCGCCGGATGACATCACGGCGGGCCGCAACAGCCGCGGACATCAGCTGATCGCGCCACCCGAAAGGCGATTGGTGGGTGGGGTGGGGTGGGGGGAGGCTCGCTAGAGCAGGGGGGGGGGGGGGTTTGGTGGGGGGGGGGGGTTTGGTGGGGGGGGGGTGTTTGGTGGGGGGGTTTGGGGGGGGGGGGGGGTTTGGTGGGGGGGGGGGTTTGGTGGGGGGGGGGGGTTGGTGGGGGGGGGGGTTTGGTGGGGGGGGTTTTGGTGGGGGGGGTTTGGTGGGGGGGGTTTTGGTGGGGGGGGGTTTTGGTGGGGGGGGGGGTTGGGTGGGGGGGGGTTTGGTGGGGGGGGGTTTGGGGGGGGGGTTTGGTGGGGGGGGGTTTGGTGGGGGGGGGGGTTGGTGGGGGTTTTGGTGGGGGGGGGGCTTTGGTGGGGGGGCTTTGGTGGGGGGGGCTTTGGGGGGGGCTTTGGTGGGGGGGGCTTTGGTGGGGGGCTTTGGTGGGGGGGGCTTTGGTGGGGGGGGCTTTGGTGGGGGGGGGGCTCGCTCGAGCAGGGGGGGGGCTTTGGTGGGAAGGGCTCGCGAGAGCAGGGGGGGGCTTTGGTGGGGGGGGGCTTTTGTGGGTTTGTGGGGGGAGGATCGCTAGAGCAGGGGGGCTTTGTTGGGGGGGGCTTTGGTGGGGGGGGGGCGTTTGTGGGTGGGGGGAGGCTCGCTAGAGCAGGGGGGGCCTTTGGTGGGGAAGGGGGAGGCTGACGAGAGCAGGGGTGGGGGGCTTTGAGAACACCCCCCCCCCCCCCACTCGGGGGTTTCCAGGTGTTTTCGGGAGCCGGTGAGAACTCCAGAGGCAAGGGTGGTGGTCTCGTTTGTAAGAGTGACCTGGGGGCATCGTTGTGCCAGTAGGGGGCGATTGTCGCTCCCGTGTTTGTGTGTGTGTGTGATCCACATTGAGTGGTCGTTTTGGATAATTAAAAAAAGAAATGGCACACGTGGGTCCTGACACCGGCACACAACGGCCTACTCTTCTCTAATGGGTTTAATTTTGATGTTTTTGAACGATGTGTTTGCCTCTCAGGTACTTTGCACGACTATCGCGTGTTTGTGTTGCTTGTTGTAACGTCCTTACCCGCCCCTAGTGGACATCTGTGAAAAAGAGCTTTATAGCTCATCGGGTTCCTCCAGTAAAAAAAACAAATATTAAGATTCTAATTACGTTAAGGGGATCTTTTAGGTCCGCTGTGAAGCGGACGACGCTACGGTTAATAAACTAAAAATATATATATTTTACCAGGTAAGGCCCACTGAGCTAGACAGCTATTTTTTCTTCAGAAGACACCGACGAACGACACCTCAACCCGAAGTGTCTCATCGTCGCGTGGGCAATCCATGGCAGGCAAAAATGACTCGCAACGATGCACACGGCCGCGGTATTAACGAGGGTGGCCGCTGGGGTCGAACCCGCGGCGGCTGTGGGAGGATCGTGCGTCACCGCCGCCACCCCCCTGAAGGTGAATGAACTCCAATAGCACGGCGAAAAAAAGACAAGCATCTATACACAGTCGTGGTACAGGTTACGTTTTTTTGTGGGGGGAGGTGGGGGGGGGAGTCTCATTGTTATACAACAATGACTGCAAGTAAAAATATATATCTAAAAATATGCATTATTTTATTTATTTTGTGTACAATAGTTTCAAGATCCTCTTTTAAAAAAAAACTAAAATGCACGAATTTAATGTGCTGTGGTGCGGGAGGGGAGTAGTTTTTTTTCCGTTGCACTGCGATATGAAGCTGCCAACGTTTTGTGTTTGTCCCCGCACCTCCGATGAACACAGTTTGGCGACGTAGGCGACGTAGGGTACGAACGAAGTGCAACATCCATCGTGCATCACAACCTGACGTTGAGTCCCGGCCATGGCTAATATCAATGGGCGAGCGAGCGGTATCCGAACCACGCAAGACTTTCGCGACCAACATTATCCACATTTATCCCTCTATTTGGGACGGAAACAGGAGGATTTCTCCACAAATATGTCCGTCGGCTGATGATGACGGTGGTTGTAAGTACTGGCGAAACGTCGTACTCGAATTGTAAATGCTGTGGGTTTACTCTCCAACACACCGGTGTGCTGTACTAGTAACGAATTGGCATGTTCTGTTTACGTGACAAACCCCTTACTAATTGGTTGTGTCGGGTGGTGGCGGGTTTAACGGCACATTTACGCGATATAACCCAAAAACCTTTAATATGGGTATCCTAACCAGCCCTTACTTCACCACTCCGCAGACGGAGTGGTGAAGTATGGTTGAACAACCGTCACGAACGACATAGCTGTGAGGGTTGTGCACATTATCTATAACTTATTGAAAGGTTTTTCAATAACTTGCTCAAAACTTGTTCCACTTGCCATTTAGACGCGGGACAAATTTCGATGCATTTCTGTTTGCCACGTATGCCGTTTT